CCAAGAGGTAGGCTGAGGCAGAGCTGTGCAAGGAAATAGGAAGTTTAAAACTGGTGTGGTAGGCAAGAGGGCGCTAGTGATATGGCCTGATAGAGAGTGAGGAACATAAGCTCTGGAGAGACTGTCCAAAGGGGAGTCAAGGAGGCCAGATAAGAGAGAAGTTACAATAATCAAGATGGGAAATTAGCAGGGTGTGAACAAGTGTTTTCATCATTGGGACAGAAAGGAAGGGTTGGATTTTCAGTGTGTTGTGGTGAAACATGAACCTCTTCCACCTTTATTACCTTACAATAGACACCAAGTATATAAGTGCATTAGAAATAACCAGAACTGCAGGGGTCACCAACGCGGTGCCCGCCTACTGGCTGCCGGACAAGCAACTGCCGAAATGCCGCCGAGAAGCGGCAACGTCAACAAGTGTCGCTGTAGAAATGCCGCTGGTTTTCGGCAGCATTGCCTCTTGATGACGCTAATTCTCAGCGGCTGCTTGTCCGGCAGCCACAGTCTTCGGCGGCTAGTCGTCCGGCGCCCGCCACACGAAAAGGTTGGGGACCACTGGATTAGAGTATTTGTAAGCCCCACACTTTTGAAACTATTCTGTCCCCATTATAAGAAAGTTAAGAGCTTTCTTAAGAATAGAATTTAGGTACACATTGAATAGATAAGCTATAGAATATAAAACAAAATCTAAATTATTCTTAAAGGCACATACTACATAGGACTAAAAATACTTATACAGAGAAGTTAACCAAGATGCTTGGGCAATTGGTAGCATCCCCACATTGCAAGGAATTTTACTGGAAAATGACAACTGTGGGCCTGATCCTGCAACCTATTACTCATGCGAGTGATCCCATATACTTCAAGTAAGACTATTCACATAAGTTTGCAGAACTGGGCCCCAAGGCCTCCTACACAATTGTTCTAAAGCAGATTGATCCCTATGTTGCCTTACCAGTTCTGGCTTTTTGTGTGGTGTAGACCAGTGTGGTCAACCTTTCCAGATTACTATACCCCTTTCAGAAGTCTGATTTGTCTTGTGTACCCCCCAAGTTTCACCTCGCTTAAGAACTATTTGCATACAAAATCAGACATAAAAATACAAAAGTGTCACAGCCCACTATTACTGAAAAATTGCTTTCTCATTTTAACCATATAATTATAAAATAAATCAATTGGAATGTAAATATTGCACTTACATTTCAGTGTATAGTATATAGAGCAGTATAAAACAAGTCATTGTATGAAATTTTAGTTTGTACTGACTTCACTAGTGCTTTTTATGTAGCCTGTTTTAAACTAGGTAAATATCTAGGGTGAGTTGCTGTACCCCCTGTAAGATCTCTGCGTACCCATTGGGTATGCATACCCCCTGGTTGAGAATCACTGATAGAGACGTGCATTTTTTGGAATGGCCTGAAATGAAACAACTTCTGGGTTGAGGAATGAGAAATGAGAGAGAACGAACTGTTCGAAGTGGATCCACTTTGGTATGTCTTGGACTGTGTATCATTCACAATGAGTGTTAAACAAAAATGTCTATTTAGAGGTCTACAAATTATGGGCTTATAAAGTATCTCTCATGCTACTGACCAAATCTAGTTCCTCCACAGATTGCACTCTTAACCAGAAAATCCTCCCGCCACCGAAGCTGTAACGAGATTACACAGATTTTTGGAATGAGACAGTTTATATTCTTTGACATATAGTTATGTGATGCTGTATGCAGTTACCAACAGCTGCTATGGTCCACTGATGAGCACCTGTGTACTCTTCCATAGCTGATTTACAATAATTTCAAGTTCAGTTGAAATCAGTGCATTATCAAGACATATCAGATATGTTTTATTAATCAGTTAGCTGCTTCCAAATGTAAGACAGAACAACACAGAGGGTAAAAACAAATTCATGCGAGGACAGAATACATTTTATTAGAAAGAGTAACAAAGTGCTTTCAATAAGACTTATTTCACACAAATATCTCCAGGAAACAACATTTTCCCCATTATGGACAGTTTCAATGTGTCAATTTTCAGTACAAATGAGGTTCCATCAGCTTTGCTGTATGTGCACTTTCCTTACTGTACATAGTAATTCAAACATTTATGCATCTGATGGCTCTTTTGGAGACACAGTAATAGTTCTACAGAAATCTTATTATCCACCCCAAAGACCAATAAGGATTACATAGTTCGTTGTTTAATGTGAATTTGGATGATGTAATTCTTTTATACAATCATTGTATACATACATAAGACACATGTAATTAGAACTGGAGAGAGACTGACAGTCGCCTGTATTAATGTTAATGATTTTCAGCATGAGATTATAACCCTTGTATCCAAATAAAATTTACATTCACCCTTTATTTCTGGAATAGAGACTCTATTCTGCATTCTTTGCAAATCCAAAACTCCCAGTGACTTCAAACTGTAGTTGGGGGTGTGGGGAAGAAGCAATGCAAAGGCTGCTCATACATTTTCTCACAATATTTGACACAATTTTACAATGCATTTTCTTTTGATACACATCTTTGTTCAGTTATGTTGCTCATTTAAAATCATTTTCAATATAATGGAACGTCTTCCCCAGTTCACTCTCAAAAATAAAAAAAGACAAAAAAAAAAAACCCCAACAAAAAAAACAAACAAAAATGGGGCAGGGAAATGCTGTAACACATAGATATTAAAGGCAGACAATCCTGTATAAAATACTTTTATGTGACGGACTATAAGTAATGAAGTAGGGGACATTACTGAAAGGTGGTGGGGGGAGGAGAGGTGTCCAAATGATAGGTTTACTTTTTTAGAAAAAGATAAAACATTTGTCCATCTCCATCTATTCCATGTTAAGTTTCAATAATAATAAAAATAATAATAATAATAATAATAATAGAGAGGGGGCTTTTTTTTTAGGGTCATAAAAATGCAGATATGAAAGACTTGTAGGGCAGGATATAGTCTCCTTCAAAAGAGGACAGACATAGCTGACACTCCTTTCGAACTAAAATCAAGTGTAAAGAACCACCTTTTATGAATGTGTGTTGCATGACATGTGTGGGAAGGGGAGCTGCTGGGATGATTATATGCATATTGTTTGTGATCATTAACATGCACCGACAAAAAATTATATGCTGGTAACTACATTGTCTTCCCTACTTCATTTCTGTACCTGTGACCAAGCAGCCCCACTTTTGGCCGGCTATTCCTTAAGCTCCAAAACAATGGAAGGTTTCCTTTCACTTCAGGAAATCAGTGTATTCTGCATCACAACACAGTCTGTGCACACAGAGTCTCAGCAACAGGGAATATCCTACAAGACATTGACCTTTTCCCTACGAGGCAAAAGGGTTTGGATGAAATGCTCTGAACAATAACTTGTATGGGAGGAAAAAAGCATGACGTAAAAAATAAGCAAATTTTGTAATACAGGCCATATATACATATATAGATACACACACAAAACCACAACTACATATAAACAATACACAAACATACTATGTATATTATATTATTTTTAAAAGGATTTTTAAATGTTTATCCTTAGGCACTTGTGGGTTGAGAGCTCCCACCATTAAATTCAAATTATATTCATACTTAGCTTTTGGAAATCCAGATTTCCAGCAATGTTTGAGTAAAGCATATCTATGAATATTTTATGATGTACAGTATTCCCATGTCATCAGTATGCTTCTTTTACTCATGTACAGACTGATACATTCTTTAACCTGGGCCCAGTCGACACACACTTGCAGTTGAGCTTAACTTCCCACATGCAAACAGTCTTATTAATGCAGTGGGGCTACTTATAGAGGTAAACATATGCATAAAGTGTTGCAGGATTGGGGCCTTAGTGCTTAAAACCACAAATAGTAATTGATTTCAATGGCTGTAAAAGTTTACAAGGAATGGCTCCATAGGCCCTGCAACTGGATCAATGTGTGCAGGGCATGGAATCCAACGGGACTCCATGTGGACATAAGAATCTTCCTAAGGACCCAATTAACTAAAGGATTGGAGCAATAGGGATTGTTTTCATTGAGTTCAATGGTCTTTGGATGAAGCCCATAGTTTGTAAATAACTAAAAACTACACATGGTTAAGGTTTGTCAATCCAAAAATGTTTGCAAAAACAAAAGTAAAGCAGCATTTCAAAAGCTTACATCTTAAATTGTAAACTGTTTTATTTAAACAAATGTAAATGAAAAAATGCAGATGGATAGAGTCAATTCTGTATTTAAAATAAATACCGTGTTTTGGGAGGTGCTAAATTGTTAGCCTATTTAGTGAAGATTTTCTCTGGCCTTTCCTCTGCTCAGCACTTCTCAGGATTCGATCCTACATTACCAAAGTGGATTTTACAGATTTATTTTAAAACTCTATACAATATTATATCTTATTCTCTGATATTTCAGCTTACAACATGCTTCTCTAGATGGTATATTTCCAAATCAAACACCAAAAATTCCTGAGTAAGACTGCAGTTGAAATCTATCTTATTTGCGTAATTGCTCATATCTTACATTAGGCCTGCGTCTGCTGTGCTTGTACAAGCAAAGCTTGCATCTACGTTAGGATTGGGCAGTAAACCAGAATCATCATCAAAGTTGATAGATCCACATTTAATACTAGTAATACAACCCTCCTGCATATGAGGTGTAGAGGGGCTGTGGTCAGTATTCAAGCACATTAGCTGGAATAGTAGGTGCAGAGGTGGGGATTTATATTTATTTGCAAAGTCCCCAAATTATTTCCTCTAAGAGAACTGTTTTGATATTTAAAAAAGGCATTAATGGCTAGAGCCAAGCACACATAAGTAGACCTAGGCCTCGTCTACACTAGAAACTTTGCCAGCACAGCAAAGTCAGTTACGGGTGTGATTTTTTCCTGACAATTATATATTGGCAAAAGCTTTAGGGTAGATACAATTATATTGGCAACAGTACTTTTTTGCCAGTATAAGCTAAGCCTACCGGAGGAGGATTTGCTGGCATAGTTATGTCGGTATAGCTAGACTGACAACCCTTTTCTAACGTAGGCCTGGCATTACAGTCACAAACTAATGTGTGTGCGCACACGTGCAAGCCAGTGGAGGAACACATTTTTAGTTAGTTCAGATTTATGGGCCCAGCCTTCAAAAAGCTTACAGGAGAGAACAATGTAAAAATAACGGAACATAAATCTCATGGTTATGTGTACTCTTCAAAACAAAGAGAGGAATTTCCATTACACAAGAAAGTGTCATTTCAAAATATCAGCCACATCACAGAAGAGAGGCTGACCCCATTCAGATGGAGGTGTTTTTATACCACATTTAATAAAAAGGCAACCTAGGACTGAGCCCTCAAGGTTGCAATGGCTCATGTACCCTCACTCAGGCTTGTCCACACCGAGTTAGTATTTGAAACGCTAGTGTGCAGTAGAGTCACACCCTGGCTTGCTGTGTACTAACTTACTGTGTGGACAAGCCCTTCAAAAGAGTAAGTTACTTTGGACAGTACCATTATTAGGAGCATATCCTTTTCATTCCCTTTGGAGATGTGCTAGGACTGTTGACTTCCTTTAAAATGCATATGTAATTTTAGTCTGAATGTAGAGACCTCACAAATGTAATGTGTAGCATGATTTGGAAAATTGCAGCTTTTAATATGCCAGTGTTTGTTTAAACATATAAATCCACTGAAAGGTGACATGGTTGTAATATGTTATCCAACAGGCCATTCACCATACTCTACTGTTGCACGTAAATAATGACAAGGCACAGAACAGCAACTAGTCCAAGAGCTTGTAAGCCAAGGAACCAAAGCATAACCCAGAAGAATATGATTATTACAGGTTCCACAATCCGTTCTCCAAAATACATCCTCGTGAAGCCTATGCTGATAAGGCTTTTGTTTAGTTCACCAAATAGAGTCCCCATCTTTTTATAGTCATCTATAACAGGCTCCACAGTGTGGTTTCTTTGTTCTTGCTGGACCTGCAGACAGAAAACAAAAGCAGGAAATAGTTTGGACGTATATTATTTATATGATACTATTATTACTGTCTCTTACAATTTACAAACATCTCGGCTGTTTCTACTTTCAAGAATTAGAAAAAAAATCAAAATATACCAAAAAGTATACGTAAAAAGGAACTCATTAAATTCAGTACCTGATATGAGTCGCATATTTTAACATAGTCAATAGTGAATACAGTGGATTCATTGAAAAGTCATTGCCAGTAAGACTTTAGAACCACTGAACCTGCATGAATAACCTCTACTAGCAGACTACAAACCATTACGTATTTTGCACAAGACAAAGAAACTGAAGGGATTTTTATTATTGAAAGATGGCCAGGGAAGACAATGGGCGAGGCTAGCAACAGGGAAAGCTGAAATTCATCCTAGTGTGAAGACATGGTGCAAGAAGTTGTGGAAACCTCCCAGTATTTCTGGAGGTAGGGGTAGGCAGCAGAATGGGTTTAGGAAAATCACAGGTGGAGCAGTGGTACCAAGGAACCTTTGCACCATTAAAGGGTGTTCCACACTAACTCCAAATGGGACAGATTGGAGGGGGGCAACTGGATCTTCACTTATGCAAATCCAGTGGTACAAACACCATTGTACAAGAGCCACAGAGGGGCAGAAGTCACCATTCTATCACATGGGTTAGAACAGCGGCTGCAGAGCTGGGACAGCTCCATGAAATTAATTGCGCAAAACCGAAATACTTGGGATTTGAGTGAAGAGGGGTGAATTTCATGTTCAATGAGCACACTTTCAAGATGATAAAGTAGCTCAGGGACATGCCTTTTCTGATGCTTCCATTAGTAGCAATCACAAGTTACTCATCAATATTTTAGTCAACAAATCAATATTTCCAACAACAGGCTGGTTGTAAACCTTAATTATAGTTATTAAGTGTTCATCATAAAGCAAAGTTTCTGGAAGAGGGAGTACTGTGTCAAGTCTGGATTTATATTCAAAAGCTAATTTCTAACTGCAGCTTCAATTATATCTAAGGGTAGAAGTCCTTCTATTTCCTGTGGTTACAGCAGATAGTAATTGGCTTCCTGATGGAGACTACCTGGGTAACTGATAGTGGAATCTGGTCCCCATTACAGAATCTGATAACCTATAATTTTAAAATGCTGAATTCCCATTAGTATAAAGCACTGTACTCACGATAACAACAACAACAACAAAGACAATCCAACAGTCTAAGCACCTTTTCCCAAACTAGATATTAGGTCACATGTAGAACCTTCATATGGAATGAAAGCTTGGTTGTAAGAGTGCTATAGCAAAATTAGGAACAGCAATGAAGAGAGACCGAACATTTGTAACAGTCCATTGCAGTTCTACAGGTTCATGTGTGTAAAATTAATTTTTCCTACCTGCCAGTTCACAAAATTATTTGTTTTGAGCTTCCAGACTTTATCTCAGAAAGAGACAGGTAGGGCAAACATACCCAGTGGTTAAATATTTTGTGTAGTTACTACGCAGGCTCACACAGTAGGCAGATTGTTGCTTAAGATTGGAACTCCGCTAACTGGACAAACTTATTAAAAGCCACCTGTGACGTTGCAGTCCATATAGTTTTATAAAAATATGCTAATAAGTGAATATAATGTAACTGGAATATGCCTCATGCAAAAGGTCTCTTGTAAGGTATCATTACAAAGCTTATAACTTACTGAGTGTGATCATCCTATTTGTATAAATGTACCACTCTTGTATCTGACACTAGAAATATGAAATACAATTCTGAGGGCCTATTGTAATTATGCAAAGTGTGGGCCATTAATGGTGGTTTGGAATCTTGATGACACCCATTAACCAGGACCATTGTCTGCAGATGGCTGTGTTTTACTTGTAAGTCTTCCTGTATACCTGTGTGCTGGCAAGTGGGCAATGAAGTCTTGCAGTGACATGGGATCATGTCACCTGAACTGGAATCCATCTTTAACCTGGCGTCTTTCCATTGAGAAGGAGGGGGTGGGAACCCAGAGAGGGCCAAAGGATTCCCACCTTATGCAAAAGACATATAAAGGGGTGGAACAGAACAAAGAGAGAGGAGCCATCATGAAGAATCCCCTACCCACCACGTGAGCTGGAACAAGAGCTGTACCAGGGAAAGAATTGTGCCCAGGCCTGGAAGGTGTCCAGTCTGAGGAAAAAAACTTACTGAAGCATCTCTGAGGGTGAGATTATCTGTACTCAGTTTGATTAGACATAGATTTGCACGTTTTATTTTATTTTGCTTGGTACCTTACTTCATTCTGTCTGTTACTACTTGGAACCACTTAAATCCTACTTTCTGTATTTAATAAAATCACTTTTTACTTATTAATTAACTCTGAGTATGTATTAATACCTGGGGGAGCAAACAACTGTGCATATCTCTCTATCAGTGTTATAGAGGGCGAACAATTTTTGAGTTTACCCTGTATAAGCTTTAGACAGGGTAAAACGGATTTATTTGGGTTTAGACCCCATTGGGAGTTGGGCATCTGAGTGTTGAAGACAGGAACACTTCTGTTAGCTGCTTTCAGGTAAACCTGCAGCTTTGGGGCAAGTAATTCAGACTCTGGGTCTTTGTTGGAGCAGACGGGAGTGTCTGGCTCAGCAAGACAGGGTGCTGGGGCCCCGAGCTGGCAGGGAAGGCAGGGGCAGAAGTAGTCTTGGCACATCAGGTGGCAGCTCCCAGGGGGGTTCTGTGATCCAACCCGTCACACCACCCTCCTTTTTTCTCCTCGCCAAATTTCTCATACATGGGTCTGCTTTTCAAGGGGCACAAAAACCACACCTGCTGGCACTTTGGGTCCAATCCTGCTCCCAATGAAATCAGTATTAAATCTCCCAGTAACTTCAGGAGTGCAGGATCAGATTGCAGAATGTTTGAGCCTGAATCTCGTTTGTGTACAACCCTTAAGATTCCATAGGAAGGATGCTTGCCACATTGAGAGTCTGTTCTTGTCCCCTTCTGTCCTCTTGTGTAACAGAGGGAGTTTCCTAAAAGACAGATGTCACACTAATATGCCAGCTAGTGTATTTATTGAGGGAAGGATATGTAGGGGGAAAAAGTGCAAAAAACTGATCTCGCTCTGTCATTCACACTCAGAGGCTTGCACTTAAGGTCTATACTGCAGCTCCAGGGACCACAGTTAGCATGAATGGAACGACACCACATACTTTCCATGTGCAATGCTGATGCAGACAGAATACTTCTGGGAGTGCCTGTAGGAGTAACTCCTACACCTTCCTGGAGAAACAGCATCCTCTATCCCAACACTGGTCTTGGACAGCTGGCCAGCGCAGAATGGTGTAGGGCCACATCCCATGGGGTTTGTCCAATACCACAAACAATGCAATGACTTCCCTAATACTTGCACTCCCTGATACGGAGGGTAGCAGCCAAGATCCAGGCTACACCATGCTCAGTTGGCCTCCTGGACAAAGTCAAAATCTTTAGCAAGATCCTTAAGTGAGTCATCACCTGATCAGGCCAACAGTTCTGAACTATCTTCAGTCTCCATGAGGAGGACAGAACAAATTTCGATAGCCCAGAGGAAACAACTGAAAACACTAAATAGTTCACCCCTGAATTTACTGACTTGAATTCTTCCCCATAACATAGATTAACACTATAGAGTACTGTAAGATTTTTGGTGGAGAGGCACATATCAAACTTAGTTCAGGACTGCCTGGAGTTTTACTTTTGTCTTACATGTCTTGTACATTTTTATCATCACATGAATTAGTGCCAGGCCATTGCTGGGAAAGCTTGGAGTCCTTGCCTTTCTCATATTATTTTACTCTGAAAAGTTGAAGGCAGCAAAAGCACATACATTTTATTACATCAGAACAATGAATAAATACAATAGTCTATTATTCTGTAATAGCCTATATTACAAAATTTAAAAAGTCTCTTCTAGAAAAATTTTAAAAATGAAAGGCATTTACTTCATTCCCCACTTCTTAAGCACTGATACAAACAATTTTGTATTCCTGAATCTCTAAGGTAAAATAGATATTGAAGCACATTAAAACTAGAACAAAAGCCTTCATTGTATGGTATGTTTAATATGGCAGAATAAATTTCACCCATTTTTCTGATACTGTAATATCTGTGGCAGATTATAAAGTAACTTTCAAAATGAGATTCTTAATCTAGAGGAAAGCTGCTAAAGCAGTTAGTATGTTACTAATCTTTTCGTTGGACTGAAAAAAAAATCTAATAAAGAGAAATAATGTAGGGCTCTCCTCAATAATGCAACATATTTCTGAACTAGTCTCTGTACTGATCTGAGTTAAAATAAAAATTTGAAAATGTGCTTCAAAGACTTCTGAGATGAGCAATTTTGCTTCAGCAGGGTATCAAAAAACAAGTAAAACTGAAAACAGATTATCAGCCATAAAATATAGATGGCACATTTTTCTTCACTAATGCTGCATAATCATTCCATGTTCTTGCCAAATACTTTCTTTACCAGTGGAGCTACAGTTGGACTACTGTTAATATAAAACTCCAACAATTGGTTACGATACTTCAGACTGCTAAAGAAACATGACTAAATTAAGCTTAAATTTATTCGCAAGTAGTCGCATTGAATTTAACTAGAATACTAAGCAGCATAAAGTTACGTAAATTGTCAATGTTTGCAGGACTGCAGAGTTAGTGAGTGTATATTATCTTTGTTCAAAAATGAACTTTCAAACACTTAGCATTATCTGTCACTGTTTTAGACCCTTATTCACGATTGATTTCCATGAGACTATTCACACGGCTAAAGTTAGGCGTGTCTTTAAGTATCTTGCTGAATCAGGCCAGGCCTTTGTGAGTGCTGCCATACTATAACAATGTTTTCAAAAGAGAAAAAAACAGTTACCTTCTCGTAACTGTCGTTCTTCGAGAGGTGCTGTTCATGTCCATTCCAATCAGGTGTGCGTGAGTGGCAGCCGGAAGATTTTCCCCCTAGCAGTATCTGTCA